ATTGGAGCACAGAACAAAAAGGGGTGGGGCTTAGGAAGGGAAAATAATAGTAATAAATATTAACTGAATAAATATTAATCAGTAAGTATTAAGTAGTAATATAAGCTCTGTGTGTTTTCCATCATTTTGAGTTTTTATTTTACAGTGTTGGTGAGTTTCTGGGGAACTAGTTTTTCTGTTACTGTTTTCTACTCTTCTGTTGTTTGTCCTCAGATTTTTGTTCTCTGATGTTGATCAGCGCTCAGGAGTTTTCTGCTGCCTGTTGAAACTCTGGACTCTCTTTCCCAGGAGATTTCATGAACTGTGTGTGTGTGAGTTACATTCCTGAGTATTTATCCTCAGGGCACGTGAGCAGGTCTGACAGTGTGGGAGAGAAAGGAGGCTGTGTGTGTCGGAGAGATTAAACAGAGTGTATGTGAGTGTGTGTGTGTGTGTGTGTGTGTGTGTGTGTGTGTGGATTAGCTGTAGATCATGAGATTTTGTCTCAGAGAAAAATACAGACCTGAGAACCAAACAGAAACATAATCCTCCAGAGAGAAAGAGCAAGTCTGTGTTTTATAACTGATATCAGTCTGTTACTGTATATAACTGCAGTGGGAGCCACTTGTATAACGTAAACAGACATTTTTACATTATAGGTGGAACTAATAACGTCATTATTGCTGCAGTGCAGAGCAGCGTTCTGGTATTAACTGAACTGATCTGATGATTTATAATATTAATTTTTTCATGTGATTGTCAATTTCTTTGTTATATTTATGCTTTTTGACTTGCAGAACTTTCTTTCATCTTTGTTCATATTTTTCTTGTTCTATGTTAAAACCCAAATCTGATTCTGATTAGTATAGATGCCGATTTCTGCCAGTAATTCAACTAATAATAATTAAATTAATTAATAATCAAAATAAAATAAATAAATAAAAATAAAAAATAATAATAAATAATCAAATAATTTCCCCCTGGGATTATTAAAGTATTTCTGATTCTGATGTAAAATAATCAAATAAGATGAAAACTTATCATATACAAATGTCATGTTAAGTCCAAATCAAAAGAGTTTGTTAGATAGAAGTTATGAAATAAAAAGAAATGATGAGATACCATCCAGCTCTTTGTAAACTGTATCAGTACCTGTGTTCAGTGCTGGCGGGCCTCCAGGTGTGACACTGTACACCTGCAGGAACTCTTTGGGTCGACTTCCTCCCACGATGTTAAAGCCGAAACCTCGAGGACCTTTAGAGAGCCGAGTGTGGATGGAGTAACCCTTCAGCTGACCGGGCTGCTCTGTGAACTCTGGGACTGACACACAGGACAGAAACATTTATAGTCAATCACATTAACGAATGGACATCTAATAAGTCCATTATAACATGTGGGATACCTCCATGTACACAGTACTTTTGCAGATGATACTAATTTATTTCTCTCACATTAATATCTCTCTAAGCAAACTCTGCCCTAGCAAGAATTTCAAAATGGTTCCAATTGAACAAGTTGTCTCTCAATGTCAAAGAAATAGAATTTTATCATATTTACATAAACAATTAAACATATTGTAAATCTAACTTGTGTCTCTTTATTGGAAATGATCCAATGACCAGCTCTCTTCCACATGTTTTCTTGAAGTCCAAATTGATGAAAGTCAGAGTTGGAAGACTCATATTCAGTTTGTCTGCAGAAGTGTCTAATAACTCTTTATTATAGCTTAATTTGTCCTTACGTCACAAACTGCAACATCATTTGGGGTGCTACTTGTCCCACTCACTTATGTAAGCTTTATATTTTACAATAAAGGTTTTGCAGAATCGCCACATCTAGCAGCAGAGCTGAACACTCTTCAATCAGCTCAATATTTTAACAGTATTTAGTATAAATATATATAAAACGTTTTATTTATTTATAAAATTGTGTATCTGGTGAGATGGGGCAGGTACACCAGATCATACATTTCCCTTAATGGTGGACTCATTAAAAGTACAGGAGTAAAATTACACACAGTGCAGTACATTGCCTCTGAGTCTATGTGTCAGGACTAGATTGTCACTGTCAATCAATAATCAATGTTAAAGCAGCATTGTTTAGTTTGAACTACTTTATATACAATGAGCAGATAAAAAGTTCTCTGGTCAGAACTGAATTCAATGAGTCCGTTTACTTTAGTGCTGCCCCCTGCTGGCTGTCAAAATAAAAGTCCACATACAGTAACGTACAGTAAAGGAAGTTTCTTATAATAACTGTACCAAATTCACAACTTTAGCCTTTAGAGGAGATTATTTGTTTTAATGAAAATAATAGGTTTACTAAAAATACTGATAAATTAATAAACCACAACAAAAATAAAAATAAAAAACCCTAACCCTAAACCCTAAAATGTAAATAAATAAAAGAAAATAAATGAGAATTCATTAATAATAAATAGAAAATACTGATTGCATCCACGGATGTTGGTTTGAACAGTTAATGCAGCAAACAGCAGCTGTTGCTAAGTTCAGACATAATCAATCAATCAATCAAACAGACTTACGTTCTGTACAGGAAGTCGTCTCTTTGTTCTGAGTTCGAGGATCCAGCCAGCTGGTCGTCTTTGAGTTATGACTGAAAGAGAGAGGCCATCATCATCATCATCTGAATGAATTCTGGGTAATGTAGGAACAGTGGAATTCAACAGAACGTGACTGTAAGTAAAATTCAGGGTTTTTTCTGCCTGGTTTGGTTGAAACATTCACTCACTAAAGTCACACATTAAAGTAAACTGAGTATCAGATAAAAAAATGCATTTCAAAGAGACATTTGGCTCCTTTTTGCAGCAATTAACTACATATGTGACACATTTTCCCTTTAAGGATCAAATCATTCCCATGCACCAGACTCCATTGAAAAAACATTAAATGTTAAGATTTTAACACCATTAGTATCCACAACTCACCCAAACATATTTTGTCGAACAGTCAGAATCAAAAAGTCCAATTCAGCTGAGACCAAAATAATAATCAATCAATAAAAATCTGATTATCGATGTTCGTAATCAATCAATCAATCAATCAATCAATCAATCAATCAATCATAAGTATCATTACTTACTCAATGTAGTACGGCTCTCCTGAATCGCTGAACGCCAGCTCCCAGTTTTCAGGCAGCGGACCTCCTGCTCCTCCTGCTCCTCTTCCTCTTCCTCTTCCTCTCCCTCCTCCTCTTCCTCCTCCTCCGTTCTGTGTTCCCTCCCGACTCCCCACCGCTGACTCCCATGATTGGCTGAGAGGCAGGTTGGTGGGCGGGACTCCGGCTGAACCCCCTGAGAGAGAGACAGAGAGAGTGAGACAGAGAGAGTAAGACAGTTATCCTACAGTGATGTTACAGACTGTCTCCAATTAATTATTAATTAATTAATATTGATCAGAATAAATATTCATTATTGATTCTGATATTATAATTATACCCACCTGTTTACCAGAGTGTTGAACAATTCAAACATATATTTTAATATTTATTTTTTGAAGTCAATGTAAAGCCTTGGCTTCAACATTAACCAACGGCCTGTAGGTGGTCCCGATGTTTTATTGCCATACAGCGAGAAAGTATAAAACGTGATAATTCCTGTTGCCAGTAGGTGGCGCTATCACTATATCTGAATATTATCATGTAGCCGTGTTCAGGGCAGGTGTAAAGTTTCGTTGAGATCGGATCATGTACGCTGAAGTCATGACAACTTCCTTTTTCATGGTGAGTCGTCGAAATTGAACAGTCACAAATAGTACAACTTTTAATCGTGAAGATGTTTACATCATACTGACCAAATTTGAAGTCGAGCTGATAAATTCCCTATTTATCGCCAAAAATGACCGCTAAATCCAAAATGGCAGACTTCCTGTTGGGTTTGGGGTATGGCTCCAAGAGGATTTTTTGTACGTCAGGAGCTGTGCTCAATAGGGGGTGCATAAAATACGCCAAGTTTTACCACGACTGACGTGCGCAAAAGTTTCAGGACTTTGACAGGCATTTGAAATGTCTGAATAATAATAATAATAATTCCTACAGATACAATAGGGCCTTCGCACGGTCAGTATCTCAGATACAGCCATTGAGGGCCAGAGTCTGTGCAGCAGGAAGAGAGAGAGAGAGTCTATACTGCAGTCAGCCACCAGGGGGAGATAGAGAGAGAGTCTATACTGCAGTCAGCCACCAGGGGGAGATAGAGAGAGAGAGTCTATACTGCAGTCAGCCCCAGCCAGGGGGAGAGAGAGAGAGATGAGTCTATACTGCAGTCAGCCACCAAAAAAGGGGGAGATAGAGAGAGAGAGAGTCTATACTGCAGTCCAGCCACCAAGGGGGAGAGAGAGAGAGAGAGTCTATACTGCAGTCCAGCACCAGGGGGGAAAGAAGAGAGAGAGAGTCCTATACTGCAGTCACCACCAGGGGGAAGATAGAAGAGAGAGAAGAGTCCTATACTGCAGTCAGCCAGCCAGGGGGAGGATAGAGAGAGAGAGTTATATGCAGTCAGCGCCCAGGGGGAGATAGAGAGAAGAGAGAGAGTCCAATACTGCAGTCCAGCACCAGGGGAGAGAGAGAGAGAGAGTCTATACTGCAGTCAGCACCCCAGGGGGGAGATAGAGAGAGAGAGAGAGGTCTATACCTGAAGTCAGCCACCCAGGGGGAGATAAGAGAGAGAGAAGAGTCTATACTGCAGTCAGCCACCAGGGGGAGATAGGGAGAGAGAGAGAGAGCCCTGTACTGGCAGTCAGCCACCCAGGGGGAGATAGAAGAGAGAGAGTCTATACTGGCAGTCAGCCACCAGGGGAGATAGAGAGAGGGAGAGTCTATACTGCAGGTCAGCACCAGGGGGAGATAGAGAAGAGAGAGAGATCTTGGAAATCTTCCCCTGTTTTTTTCCTTTTTGGACATCTCTTTGCATTATTCTAAAACAGCATGCTGTCTAGTTGTTCCGGTTTGTGTCCGGTTGTACCTGTGTAAGTACAGGTTTCAGAATTTCAGTATTGTGTAAATTTAATGCTGAACTTAATTGATATCAGTCTTGTAGTTGTGTCCTGTCTAGTCTAGCCATCCCAGTGTTGCGGTCGATGAGAAAGAGTCCCCAGCTTTCTGAATCTGATTAGCAGAAGACACGGACACTAATCATCCCTATAAATATAATAAAATAGATTTCGGAGTCATGCATTGAGATTTGAAACTGATTATGTTACAGTGCAAGTCCACTGAGATTATATTCCAGCTATGTGGAAAGTGGAGAGTGTCATTCGTATAATTCCTTTCTGATTTGAACCGTTGTACCAACGCCTACTGATCATTCATCTCATCTTTGTTCGTCTCTCGTCTCTGTCCGTCTCCTCGTCTCTCTTCTCTCTCACAGCTTCAGGGCTTCACATCCTTCAACATTTCACATTCCCTAATGGGCTCTGATCTCCCTCTCTAGAATGAAGACAGTACATCTGCTCAGTGTTCCTCTACCATCATCACACTGAGATCTATCTCTTATCTAAAATATCAAACATCTTAAAAGAGTTATCTATTGTTACTTTCTTCACTTTTCTGGGTGTTTCTTGCGTGTCCCTGCTCCAACTCATACTGTGTCTGCTATTACTCTCCTGTTCTTTCTCTGTAACTTGTGTCACTTTATCTGTACGATCCATTC